CTGACCAGGACTAACGTGCCATCTCTGGGAGGTAACACGCTAGCTCCAGCTGGGGACGAGCGCCTAGAAGCCCTCGTCCTGACGGGATGGGGCGAGGCGTGTGTCAGATCGCCTGTCGCCACCTAACCCGCGATCTGACCGGTCTGTGACTGGTCACTGACCGGATAAACTAGTGCACTGCACTGCGTTACATGCGGCGTGACACGCTCAGCCAAACCGCAATAAATGTGGTTAGGTGAGCCCCACTGTGCTCACCTAACCCATACACGCAGAGCAAAGACCCACGAGGGGTCGGGGCGCCTCGGCCCTCGGGGCCGAGGCGGGTGCGGCCCGACCCCCTCGGGGGGACTAAGAGGAGGGCGAACACATCACCCTCGGGCCCAACGTCCCTCGGAGGTGCCAGGCCACGTGTGCGATTGTGTCTGCCTCAAACCTCTAGTCATGATACTCCTAATCCCATGTCACCGACAATAGCCCCCGGCGTTATGCCAGGGCGATCGCCCTCTTTAAGGGAAACGGTCGGGCGTGACGCCACTCCTAAGGCCTGGTGACAGGTGGGACCGGTCTCCACAATTGGGCAGAAACCCAACGGTCACAAACCACGCACATCGGCAATGGTAACTCGGTTGTCAACAATGAGCGGTCTCTTCAAGACTGCCACATTAGTTGAGTAGCACACGAATCTGGACATGGCGATTCGTTTCGTCTGGAGATATGGTAACGTTGCTTCGGTCGGCGAGCGTAATTAACGCGCGCACGATATGATCTATCTCGACTGCCACAACCGCATATCCACCTCATGCGCCGCAAGCGGGCGAATGGGATTAGTGGAAGCGTGGGCGCGAGAAACGAGGGGGCGAAATAGTGGGCGCGAGAAGCAAGGAGCCGGGCACAGCGTTGGCAAGAGTATAAAGGCACTGAGGAAGGGATCTGTTTCCTTCCTTTCGCCATTATTCCCCTTGTCTTCGCCGCTTGCGCCCTAACTCCTTCTTTCCTGTGCCCTACCTTCGCCACACGCGCTCGCTCTTAATCTTCTCTTTCTCCGGCGCCATGGCACGGGGCTCCGCGCTGCTCGATGGTAGCGTGCTGCCGCCTTCCCGCATCGTATGACGGAGCGTGAGGCTCCTCACCGGGAGACTGCGCAGGCCCCCCTTTGCCGGTTCGGCCGGGGACTCAGGGTGAGATTCTAAGCTCTCTGTATGTGGAAGGTTCGCTAGACCGGAAACACACAAGACACGGGCGATGTATACAGGTTCGGGCCGCTGAGAAGCGTAATACCCTACTCCTGTGTTTTGGGTGATCTGCGTATGAAGGAGCTACAAGGTATGAGCCAGTCTCTCCCATGTTCTGGGTTCCCAATCTGGAAAAGTCCAGTCCCCATCTCAGTGGGCAAGGTCCTCCTTTTATATCTTAAGGGGATACCACATGCACCATTTCTCTCTTTTTTTATGGGGACTTACCCCACCTTTTCATAAATGGACGGAGATTTGTATAGTTACCGTCCGAGTCACCTTCTGATGAGACGGGCCACAACTACCTCCACTTTCGCCGGGAGCAGGTGCGACGTGGAATCGTGGCTGTCTGCTGACGACATGACCGGTGTCAGACCAGTCACGTCGGTCATTCTTGTCCACCACGTGTCAGCTTAGCAATCTACATGTTCGCCCTTCTTCACACAACATCTTGCCTGCAATGGTTAGGATGAAGCCTGGCATATATCTGACCAGGACTAACGTGCCATCTCTGGGAGGTAACACGCTAGCTCCAGCTGGGGACGAGCGCCTAGAAGCCCTCGTCCTGACGGGATGGGGCGAGGCGTGTGTCAGATCGCCTGTCGCCACCTAACCCGCGATCTGACCGGTCTGTGACTGGTCACTGACCGGATAAACTAGTGCACTGCACTGTGTTACATGCGGCGTGACACGCTCAGCCAAACCGCAATAAATGTGGTTAGGTGAGCCCCACTGTGCTCACCTAACCCATACACGCAGAGCAAAGACCCACGAGGGGTCGGGGTGCCTCGGCCCTCGGGGCCGAGGCGGGTGCGGCCCGACCCCCTCGGGGGGACTAAGAGGAGGGCGAACACATCACCCTCGGGCCCGACGTCCCTCGGAGGTGCCAGGCCACGTGTGCGATTGTGTCTGCCTCAAACCTCTAGTCATGATACTCCTGATCCCATGTCACCGACAAACTTAATCTCAAGTCAGGCAGGAATTGATGACGGATATAATTAGCAACTTCAATTATCTTTTATTTTGGTCGGCATGTTCTTTTCAAAAGTAAAAAATGATTCTTATGGATTATTGTAATGATATCCCTGGTAGTACGTGCGAGCATGTGTGGAGACTGACTTGAAATCATGCTAACATGTCCCAAGAATTGTGCGGTGTAATAATTCGAATAGAATTGGATGATCTAGGCAACTACGTACGTGATATCCACACGGTCATTCGCTTGGTACCCACATCACACGGACTCTCTTTCGTAGTTCGCTCACGAGTCGTGACTTCGCAATGAATGTTAGACGTGATGGGAATCGGATACGGATGACGTACCATAGTTTTGAAAAAAAAACATCTTCAATTTTAAAATCACGGGCGAGGGCGACGCAGTTCCAATCGGACATGTGGCAAGGGCAAATCACATGCGCGAGGGCGTCACAGGCCCAATCGCAACGGTGCACAAAGGCGCGTGTGGAAAACAGACTCAGGCGTGAGCCCAATTGCTACGTGCAGCAAGGGGCGCGTGAAAAGATGCAGGTCCAATTAATTCGTGTCTCGGATAAGAGGGACACTCTAACATAAAAAGGAAAGGATTTGACATAAACATAAAAATTAAAACCGATTCAAATACGAATGATGTACCCAAATTCTAACAAAAATATCTTTAATTTTTATAATAGTAGAGGAGAATTTTTATAATAGTAGAGGAGAGATAGTGTGTTTTATTGCAACCTAAGTCAATATGTGTTTTATTGCAGCCAACATAAATCAAGATGCGTTAATGAGAATTCTCTCGCATGTGTGTCTTGCTTGTATTCTCACATTCTCATTCATGTTATAATAAAAAAGGATTTTAAGTTTTAAGTTTGATTTTTCTTTTAAAAAAGAATTATCTCAAGTGGATTTTATTTGTCAAGACAGCAGTCATGACTCATGAGTAAAAAAAATAAAATTAATTCTCAAATCGAAATCACCTTTTATTATAATCAAAATCATCTACTCCCTCTGTCCTATAAATTAAAAGACCTATACATTTCCACATGGCTCCAATACCATACTTTGACCAAAAAAAATGTTCATTATATGTTATCACAACTTCAAAATAGCATCACATTATAGTATTTTGAAATACGGATTTAGTGGTATGAAAAGCATGGCACTAAACACAGATATTACTAGATGATGCTCCCACTTTGCTGCAGGATATGTGTTAGATATTGGAGAAATGATGAAATGATTTAGATTAAAATATTATGAAAATGATTTAAGAATGATGATTTAGTATGTGTATGTTTAGTTTTAGAATTATAGACATAATTACTATATGCTTGCATGTTGAGCTTTGTGTGTTTAATGGGTTGATGTGGCATGCTTGCATATATATTTTAGGAGTGCTAATAAATATTATGCTTGCATGTTGAGCTTTAGGTTTTTGGTGTGTATTAGCTTTATAAAAAGAAGATATTAATGTAATGTTAGCCGAAGGTTATAAGATCGATTTTTCATGTAGTATTCATTTTATTTTTGGATGGATGGAGTTAACTAATAAATAAGGGAAAATTAAAGAAATGCCATTGACAAGCGTCCAATTCTAAGAAATAACATCAATTAGTGTGAGTTTGATTAAATGTTATCGTACAAGCGACTTTGTTCTAGATATATCATCGTCGTTAGGGTTCCATCCACCCAACGCCATATAATGCATTGTTATCCTATAGCATTTAATAAAGGGCTGCTAATGGAACCCGGGACAAACTTGCATGTACAATAGCATTTCATAGAACTTGGACTTGTCGATGGTGTTTCTAAGAATGGGGAATTTAAGTATTTTCCAATATCGCATTTGTCACTTATCCAAATGCCCCTATTAGATTTGTCTTTATTTTTTTTGCCCTATAAGGTGATGGCTTCTTAACTATTTGCCATTTTTGCTAGCATGGCATGCCAACGTGGCTTGCAATTCTAAAATGCAGAGTAGGCCTCTCCCCTTCACTTTAGCTTTCTCCTCATCCTCCAGCTCGTCGACGGGGAGGAGCTGGCTCCCAGTCTGGCATCCCTCCCTACCTCCCTCCAAGCCCGGCGCCGGTGAGCTCCCGCGCGCACGCCTCTCTCCACGAGCTCCCTACCTCCCTCCAAGCCTGACGCCAGCTAAGCTCCCTCCATGCCCGACATCCCACAAGCTCTGGCGGCGGGCGTGTGGTGACGACGGACAATCCTCTCTCCATGTCCGGTGTCCCGCGAGCTCCAGCGGCCCTTCCCTCGGTGGCCGGGGATCTCGAGGAGCCTCCTGGTCACGCCATCACCAAGCACCCGCGCTGCCGCCGAAAGGAGGGTCGCCGTCAACCGCCGAGGATCGACGAAGGCGAGGACGGCGGGGCTGGCTGGGCCAAAGGAGAGAGGAAGGGGAGAGTTTGTGAGACTGATTAGTGGGCCCCACATCGATATTTACAATGGTTCGCCACGTAGGCAAAAGTGGCAAATAATTAAGAAGCCATCACTTTACAAGGGAAAAAAAAAGACAAATCTAATAAGGGCATTTGGATAAGTGGCAAATGCAATAGTGGCAAATAGTTAAATTCCCCTCTAAGAATTGAACATTTGTCAATATTATTTCTTGGATTTTCTCAACAAATAATACCTGGCCAGTGTTTGTAAGCGCTTTAGTTATTTATCTTTTTTTTTATCAAAAACAAAATGGTAAGAAGGAAGGCAAAAATAATAGCTCATAGATGGATAACCGTTCACAAAAGTGGAACGGGAAGGTTATGAAAATAAATAGAAGATTTAATAGGATTTCATTTTTTTGTGTATTCTATAGTGATGAAAAAATATCCTGTAGAATTTAACAATTACAAAGTTCCTCCCATTCAAACATCCACTAGAGGGTGTTTACAATCCCTAAATACAACAATCAACAATGAAGCAAGCAAGGTGGAATACCACTGCGATTTACAATATATGGCTGGAGGCACAAACGCCACCTAAAAACCTATGCTTTGCTTTTCATATAATTATCATTCACAAATTCACAGGTTGATATTTCGTCAGTATTGTAGGAACACTCTTGTGTTGAAGGCAAGCAAAGACAGCATATTGAACGGTGCCTTACACATTATGTTCAATGAACTTCGCCTCACCTTCCTTCATCCGATATGCTTGAGCTTACATATTCTCACATCACAGGGGCACATTAACAAGTTTATATATCTGACTAAAATTTGATCGACCTGCTTCCAACTGACAGAATCGAGCATCATGATTCATGAATATGATGAATTTATGATTGATTCATGGTGGAAGGTGCAGGTGTAGGCCTGAACAGCCTCCGGGACACCCACTGGATGGGTCTCAATAGCTGTGCCCTCTTCTTGCGCCAGAACCAAATCGCGGCACTGTACTGCTCGTTCCGAATTTTCCTCGTAGCTGCTCTCCAATCAAACTTCTCCATCTCCTTTCTGGCAGCCTTCCGCATTGTCTCTCTCAACTCTTCGCATGTCAAGAGACGTTCGATCTTGCTAACACAGTCATCAACATCTCCTGGTGTGTACAGAAAGCTGGTCTTACCCTCCTGATCCTCTGGTATAATATCAGGTATTCCTCCAGCACGAGCTGCAACTACGGGAACTCCTGATGACATAGCCTCCAACACAACAAAACCAAGCGTTTCTGACTCAGAAGGCATCACAAACACATCCCCACTGGCATAGGCCTGCGATAGCTCTTCTCCTTGTAATGTACCAGTGAACACTGCAGGCATTCCCGTGAACATCAGTTGGAGTTCAGCCCTGCACAGAAAATAGCCAAGACCAACTCACATATCCAGTGCACAAATAAACAATCATGAGAAAATACAAGTTCACCTTGTGCATTTCATTTGCTAGTTTAAATTCACTTTTCCTACTTGGGGATGATAAGAGCATATGGCCAGCCCCCCTAGTTTTTTTTATACAAAACTAGTACAACATTTGGAACCTCACAAGAATGTTTCCTCTAGTGAGTATCATGTTTGGTTGCCTTTTTTGAGGGGCTAAACTGTGCCAAGAACACCTTTTCTGAGGTGGAGAAATGATGACCAGACTGTGCTACAATTGGGCAAGAATATGAATCTATAAAAGGTATGGCAATGTGTTACAAAGTGTGGTACACCACAGCTGTGGAAAGAACCGAATGGTAGCCATGAGAGATCATATTGCCTAACTCGAGTGTTGCAATGAAACAACACCCCTAACTACATGGTTCTGCAATACTCACCTGAATGGCCCATCACCAACAAATGCGATTCTTGATCCTGGAAGTCGGTCCATGACCCTAAGAAAAATAGAAATGAAGTGAACAGTGAATGATGCTAAATAAATACAGGATATAGCTCAGGAGAAGAATCAACAACAGATATCAGCAGAAAGCAAAAGTATGCCAACAAAATATTGTGGCCAAAAAAAACCGTGAGAAGTTAGGGAATGTTTCTACAATATGCACTGTAGAAATCAGACACAATTGGGCCATGAGAAGTTAGTAAATATTTCCAAAAATACCTCGCAGTGTGCACTGCAGCATTTTTAAAAAATCAGACAAAATTCACAGCATGAGCTCACCTCTTAAGAAAGTCTAAGCTTTTCTCAACTCCCAAACGACCAACATACAGTATAAGCGGTTTTTCTGGTTCACCGTTACTGATAGAGGAAAAGGGAAAGTATAAGCATGCTGTTAGACAGGGAATATAATTGCTCATTTCAAAATATTCTCTACATAATGAATGAGGCAACAACCAGTAGCAATTTAGCACCATTGCATCTGTACTGCAAAAAGGCAACTGAGCACAGAGGAGATTACATACGTTAGCCTTGCACGCATTTCGTCATTACGGAAACGGGGATGGAAGCTTTCTGAATCAACACCCTTGTTCCAAAGGCGTATCTTATTGGCTGGAAATATGACCCATCATAATAAATTGGTAATAGCAAAAGAAGGTGAAACTATGTCAGAATAAGATGGTAAAGGTAAAAAAAAACAAAACTATGTATAGCCATGACAACCTGCTGTAACACGGGCAGCTTGAAGATCCTTGCCGATAGCAACTGATGGTACCAGTGTGAGATCCGCAGCTCGGTGCAAGAATTCTTTGGGGAGTGAGAAATGCATCAGTTGGCTAGTATTAATGTAAAGGTGTATCCGCATAGGACATGGCTGGAAGCTTACTTATAATCAACCACATAGGCTTCACCAGCCAGCTGAATGTATATCTCGGTATATAACTGCCATTGGTTATGAAGAATCAGTTTGCTATGTGGATAAAGCCGTAATTTCATAGGACTTAAACCAGCCATCAACGGATTTTTTTTCCTAGGAGCCCAGAATCGTGTTTCCACTGATGTTACTGAAGATAAAGAATAAATTTCTGAATTATTCAAGTACTGAACTGAAGTTTTTTTCTTTCCTTTTCACCTTTCAAATTGATGCTTTGGTAGTGAGTAAAAAAGAGCACGGCTAAAATTTTCAAGCCTTATGCAGAATTTTCACATGAGAGGAAGCAGCAAGTATGCCATCATGAAGCAGCTGATGGCAGTGACTTGGGAGAGACCCTTCAATGCTGATATTGCACTGATTGTCGTAAACTTTGCCTTCTAGTATTAGCTCAGGAAACTCACATTGGAACATGGGTGTGGTACGACATTACTAGAGGGACGCAGAGCAACTTTGCAATTATTAGGGCACCGAATACCTGTTTTGGGGAAACAAAAGCGGTAAGTGGCATATTAAAACTCAAAGTGTTGATGTAGTAGAAATTTTGTGCTACCATTATTCCAGGGGAAGAGGCGTGAATGATGTCAGGCTTAAATCTAGCAACTTCTCCGATAATCCGAGGACTTAGGGCTAGTGAAAGTGGAACCTTCTGGTACCACGGGCAGGGGAAGCTGGAATCAATCAAATAAGACATGTCAGCAAAAATGCTGCTGTCGGCGGACTGTCAACAATGGCGTCCATATATTATTATATTAATACTACCTCCATGATCCGATTAGCTTTGCTCCGTAGAATTCTTGAGGTACGCCCTCATGCGTGGTAATCACAATGACCTGTGGAAGCGAAACCGACCAGGATAGGATAGTGAAGGAATGGAGAAGGGGGAAAAAAATTCCAAAATCCAAAGCCGGCGAAAAGCTTACCTCATCACCCATCTCCCGAAGATACTTGATGAAGTTCAGGAAGCGGTTCTTGTAGCCGGAGACGTATGCGAACGGGGAGGGCTCCACGAAGAGGGCGATGCGGCGGGGCCTCGAGTCGAGGGAGGCCGACGAGGCGTCGGCGTCGGTATCCGCAGGGTACGACTCCGATGGAAGGCAGAGGGGCTTTTGGGGGTGGCGGCGGTGCAGGCGGAGAGGGTACGGATTGAGCGCGGGCGTCGCGACGGCAGCACGCGACAACAACGGCGGCGGCGGCGGCAAGAGGATGGAGGTGTTCCATGCCGCCATATTAGGAGAGCGGCGCCGGCGGTGGGGGAGGGCGGCGCCCGGAGTAGGGGGCGTGGGAGAAGGGCGCCGATGGCCGGATTGAGGAGAGGATGGGAAGGAGGGGGGCGGCTGCTTGGGAGCTCGCCGGCCAGTGCCACGGAGGAGGAAGCGGTGGCGGCGAGGCTAGGCTAGGACGAGCTATCCGGGAGAATCATTCACCTCCTCCAAATTGAACTCACATAAAAAGCATATTCGCTTCTCTTCACTTGCAGATGCTCCGTCGTCTGATGATGCCCCGCCGGGAACGTACGTTCAATTTACTCTGGATTAATTCCAGCAAATAAAAAAAACGACTAGTTTTCAATTGTACTTATTATTTTACAATAATTGGCTTACATGTATACTATGTTTTTTTCAATTATATCTTACATTAATTGGGCAACTCCCTTAATTTTTTTCAATTTTCTTTCGTCTTACTTTTTCTATAATGAAAATGAATTACATCTTCGTCCTTTATCCGTGGACACAACCAAAAAGTCTCGGAAGTAAATAGAAATAAATTAAAAAGAAAGTAAATTTTAGAAAACTGCAACTATAGTGACAAACTATCAGTTTGTTGCAACATTAGTGATCTATTTCAGTTTGCTGCAATAATAGCGTGGAAAATTATCACAAAACTGCAACTTTTACGTGATATGCTACTACATGACAATTGTAGCAGCATATCACGTACTGTAGCAGCATATCACGTAAAAGTTACAGTTTTATGATAACTTCCCATGCTATTGTTGCAACAAACTAAAATAGATAACTAATTTGTAGCAAATTGATAGTTTTATCACTATAATTTCAGTTTTCTGAAATTTACTCTTAGAAAAAAAACATGCATGATAGGAAAAACTCCTAATTTATGCCAATAAAATAATCAAACGTTTCTAAAATCACATAGATTCTAGAACAAAATTCTATACGTACTACGCTATCTAAACTAAAATAAAAATTACTTGGTTACCAATTTCAGGTGTGTAACATCGTTGCATATAGTATCATATTGTTCCTTGAAAAGTATCATATACATCAAGAGTGAAGTCAGTTCGAACATATGAAGATAACCTGTATAAAGTTAGAGATTTTTTTATGGTTAAAAACTACCTCATTATTGCAATGCCAGATTATCCAGCATTATACAAAAATTACTCAAAGCAATATATTACTAGAGTATTAGCGAAACTCTTAGGCTGTGTTCGGGAATTCACCTCCCGCGCACGCAAACGGAGTGGCACATTTTATTATGATTAACTAAGCATTTATTATTTTTTTAAAAAAATAGATTAATATGATTTTTAAAGTAACTTTCATTTAGAAAAATTTTATAAAAAACATAACCGTGTAGTATTTTGAAAAGCGTATGCGTGAAAAATGAAAGAGATGAGTTGGGAAAGTTGAGGAAAGAGCTCAGTCTTAAGTGAAAGGGAGAGAGAGTAGACTAGAGCTAAGGAAATCGTCTTCATGACAGGTACTGTCATCTCATTATCCAGTTGCAGCCAATGAGCATCACCCCCTGAGCTCAAACGGTGACACCCAAACCAACAGGAGCCACCAGCACTCGGCACTCTCTATTGCTGTCTACGTACGTACTACGTACGTACACTTACCAAGCAAAGGCCCAAATTGAATGAATTGGTCTACAGACATAGTACTAGGAGGATGGAATAAATTCATATTAGGTCCCTCGTCTTGACACTGAGTTTAAAATTCATTCCTGAACCGCAGTACCATATATAACATATCTCTCAATTTATAAAACCGGTGTACCCAAAATGTCAGGGCAACATAGTACCCGGTTTTGGTTGACGTGGAGGCTAAGTTAGCGTGGGACTAGGGCAGGACTAGGGCTGTCAAAAAAGCTCGAGGCTCACAAGCTGCTCGAGCTCGACTCGTCCTAGGCTCGATTCGAGCTCGGCTCGAGCTCCAAATAAGCCGAGCCTGAGCCTGTCCCAAAGCTCGCGAGCTTTGTCGAGCCGAGCTCGAGCTTCTAACGAGTCTAGTAATATATGATTTTTTGTTGTTATTTAATAAATTGGGAGATCAAATATGTTATTTGTATGTCTTGTATTGGCATTATATATTTATTTTTTTCCTCTTCTACTAATATGATGAACCCTAAATTAATTATTTTTAAAAGATTATCCTTTGAAATATACATTGTTCTAATTAAAAATCAAGCTCGGTAGTCGAGCTCGAGCTTGATCGAGCTCGAACCGAACCTGTTTGAAAGCTCGAACATTTTATAGGCTCGGCTCGAGCTTGTATCGAGCTCGAGCCTAGGCAGGCGAGCTCGCTCGAGTTCGGCTCATTGACAGCCCTACATGGGACCGACATGTTAGGCTAATTCAGTCTAAATAAATAAATAAATAATGGTGGACCCTACGTATCGATGACACATCCTCTCCTTCTCCCTTTCTTTGTGTCTCTCTACCTTTTTCTCAACAGCGTCGGAGGCTGGGGATGAGATGGGATGGTTGTCTAGGAACGAGAGAAAGGCATCGACGGCGAGGGAGTGGGCACTGTGTGTGGCACGCAGGAGCATAGGATGTAGGTGTTGGCGTCGATGGAGGAGAGATGACCATGTCTACCAGATATGGATATTCTCCTAATATCTATGGAGTATTAGGAGGTCAACAGTGGGCCGAGAGTAGTTGTTTGTGGTATTGTCTGCCTATCTATGATTTTTTAATTTTTAATTTTGTGTATTAAAATATTTAAAAAATAATTTTTGTTTCATAGTTTTACAAATGCACACCCCTAGTGCCCTTTGTGACCCAAGAGAGCCTTTTATGCGGTGGCACATGGCGTTGACACATCCTAACAACCTCCGCGCAATTATTTTATATGCGACCCCTTTACCGCCCTCCCAAACAACTGTAATGGGGTCGCTATAAAATAACTATGGTTGTTACCGTCCTCCGAAAGCCTACAAGGCGCGTCTACAAAATATCATAGGTAACCATTTTACAGGGGGCTCTTTGCAGGCAAGCCTTTATAGAAGGGGACAGCAAGAGGCATAGTCATGAGAAATTACAATACCCCAATAGGCATGTGTCACATTATAAAAACAGACTCCTAAATAACGACAGGGGTATAGATTTGTAAAGCTTTATTTTTTTAAAAGTATTTCAATAAATAAGTGAATAAAATAAAACATTTTAAAAAATTCATATCCATAAATACTCCACTCGTCCTATAAAATATAAATATGGTACCTGATATGATATATTCTAGTGATATGAATTTGGATAAATTTATATTTGAATTCACATTTCTATAATATGTTATATCTTATATTAAATTTATTTTCCGTGGGATTTCGACGCTCTTTGATTAGACTTATAAGCTAAAAAGTCTAAAGCCTAAATAAACAAGCAGCTTTTTCGTTTGTTTTTTTAAGCCATAAGCCACTCTAACACTACTCCCTCCAGTTTCATTTTAATTGACATTTTGGACAATGACACGGTCTACAAAATGTACTTTTGACCTTATTTTTCTATTATAATATACACAATAAATAAATGCATGTTTACTTTTATTATAGTATTTTGAAAGATAAATCTATATATGTTGTTATAGTTTCTTTAAACTAAATATTTTTGAAGTTATTAATGGTTAAAGTTATTAAAGTTTGACCTCAACCTTGTTCAAAATATCAATTATTATAGAACCAGAGGGAGTATTAAGCTAAAAGCTAGGTTGGAGAAGCTTTTTTTTGGCTTATATGAGGTAGATGTATAACTCCAACACTAGACTTAGGTCATTAATTCCACTGGTTTATAAATCATATAAGCTAATAAACTGATTTAAAATTGTAAGACAATAAATCTAAGCCTAGATTAGAAGAGTAGGAGGAGGGAAGGATGGTTGGTGGAATGAGGGGAACCAAGCGTCCGGACCTGGCGACCTGCGGCAGGGCGTCGCCGGCGGTGGACAACCAGGAGATAGAGAGCGGACGTAGCCGTCGTCCTAGTCACTCACTCACTCATCACGCTTTCGATCATCCGCTTTTCTTTTTTTTATCATAATATAGAATGCGCCATTCCATGTGAATTTGAGCAAACCAAGGTGAAATTGGATTTTTGCTTCCTAGCAGCCCTGCTACTGGATACTTCCTCCGTCCCAAAATATAAGCATTTTTAAGATTAGCATAGGTATTAAGAAAGTAGGTGAGAATAATTGAAGAAGGTGTGTGATTTATTGAAAAAAGAAAGTAGGTGAAAAAGAATAGTTGTGATTGGTTGAGAGGAGAAGATAGGTAGAAAAATAGTTTCATTTTAGGACAAAGTACTGTGCTAGAAATAGCTATATTTTAGGATGGAGGTAGTCCGAAGTACTCGTACTTCTCTTCTTGTCATCTTGACCGTCCGTCCGCCCTTCCTCGAACGGCGTTTACTAAAAGATCTGCTGCTGCTGCTTGGTGAGGTAGGAGGGCCCCCCACAGACAGTATGTTGTCGTCGGCACCAGCCTGAATAAATAAAAATAAATAAATAAGTAGTGAAGAGCCCAGTACCAGTAGTAGAGCAGTGGGAGTATTGGGCTAGTGGCACTGCCAAAGCCCACGGCGGTGAGAGGAGAAGCAAAGGCGGAATTGTCCTTTGTTGTGGTGTGGTGGTGGGCATCTGGACCGTTCGTCCCACCCCGACCGCCATCCATCCATCGGTGGATATAATAAGAGGAGAGGGGAGAGCGAGGCAGCACCACACCCCTACCGCCCACTCCCCCGGCCGCCGCCGCATCTGCGCTCTTAGGGCCTCTCCTTCCCCATCCCCAAATTTCCCCTCCGGCCATGGCCACCGACGGCACAGGCGTCGTCACCGTCTACGGCTCCGGCACCAACGGTGCCGCCTTGCTCGAGCCCTCCAACCACAAGTCCGCCACCTTCTCCGTCAAGGTGGGCCTCGCCCAGATGCTGCGCGGCGGCGTCATCATGGACGTCGTCACCCCCGAACAGGCGCGCATCGCCGAGGAGGCCGGTGCCTGCGCCGTCATGGCCCTCGAGCGCGTCCCCGCCGACATCCGCGCCCAGGGCGGCGTCGCCCGCATGTCCGACCCTGGCCTCATCCGCGACATCAAGCGCGCCGTCACCATCCCCGTCATGGCCAAGGCCCGCATCGGCCACTTCGTCGAGGCCCAGATCCTCGAGGCCATCGGCGTCGACTACGTCGACGAGAGCGAGGTCCTCACCCTCGCCGACGACGCCCACCACATCAACAAGCACAACTTCCGCGTCCCCTTCGTCTGCGGCTGCCGCGACCTCGGCGAGGCCCTCCGCCGCATCCGCGAGGGCGCCGCCATGATCCGCACCAAGGGCGAGGCCGGCACCGGCAACGTCGTCGAGGCCGTCCGCCACGTCCGCTCCGTCATGGGCGACATCCGCGCGCTCCGCAACATGGACGACGACGAGGTCTTCTCCTACGCCAAGCGCATCGCCGCGCCCTACGACCTTGTCATGCAGACCAAGCAGCTGGGCCGTCTACCAGTCGTTCAGTTTGCGGCCGGCGGTGTGGCCACCCCCGCCGACGCTGCCCTCATGATGCAGCTCGGCTGCGACGGCGTCTTCGTCGGCTCCGGCATCTTCAAGAGCGGCGACCCCGCGCGCCGCGCCCGCGCCATCGTGCAGGCCGTCACCCACTACAGCGACCCCAAGATCTTGGCGGAGGTCAGCAGCGGGCTCGGCGAGGCCATGGTTGGCATCAACCTCTCCGATCCTAAGGTGGAGCGCTTCGCCGCCCGCTCCGAGTAGCCCATCCATCATCATTCATATCCGCCTTATCCTTCTTTCGCTATATATATATGCTCCTTCCTTCGATTAAGTAATAATTACATCTACTATCATCGTCGTGATAAGAAGAAAATGAATTAGACACCAGCCAGCCAGGACTTTGTTGGCTTGGCTCACTTCCCTTCCCTTCCCTTCTTGGTGATGATGTAACATGGAACAGCACATGTATCGATTAGGAGCATGTATTGTTATTTTTGCTAATTGCTGTGGACTGGATCCATTTCTATGGAAACTGTCATACTTCCCGTTCTGTTGGTACCCATGGCCACTTTTACCTACTCGTACTTATTACTCTTCTTTCCTATGGTTAAAACTTAAAAGCACAAGATTCTTTTTTTCCTGTGGCTAAAATTCACCAAGCATGTGTGCTCGTCAAATTGTGGATCGGAGAAAAAAATGTTCCTGCATTTTTTCAAAAGTTATTACTCTTTGAATTTTGGTCACAGGCTTTATCTATTCATGCGTCATTTTATAATGTTAATACTCTTGAATGGCTATCTCACACGAAATTATAGCTTAAAGGTCAAAATCATGAATTTTTTAGTTCTAAGATTGATATTCATGATTTTTGTGCTTTATGAGAGCAAGGTCAATAACTAGCGCAGCTAATACTAAAAGCTAGTATGTACAGTAGTAGGCTGCACTCCATTAGTTTTTCATTTTCTAATCGTACTTTACTAGATCAGTCCATCATGTGATTGGGTGGTATTAGGTTGGCTCCACAAAATGTGTGAAAAGCTACGCTGTAGCCGGGCGGTAAAATAAGCGTCGTCTTATTTCTCTCTCTCTCGAGTTCTCTCTCCTCCACATAGGAATTAAATGATGTGGCATATTTTGGAGCCTCAGCTTATTGTACCTGCTCTGATGCTATTGTTAACACCTAATCACTAGGAGTTAACACCTAATCACTAGAAAAATATTCCTGCACCATTTTCTATATGTTAGAAAAATATTCCTGCACCATTTTCTATATGTTAATGCGTATTAATTTTCATCCAAAGCTATAACTCACGAAATTATTTCTTGAACCATTTCTCCTAAGACTATTTAATATTCACAAATATTTTGTTTGATTGGTCTCGAGGCTAATACTTGCGAAATTTTAGGTTAGAACAAATATTATTCTTTTCAAAGGCTAATAATCATGAATTTTTGTGGAAGGATATAACTTAAGCCAATCCTGACTATGAACCTTCATTGGATTGGCTATGAACCTTCATTGGTAGGATTAGGTTTTTTATGGGACGGAGGGGGTATGAAATTGCTATAGCTCGAGGGCTAAATTTATGAGATCATGCGCAACTAGTTAAAATTTGTGACCGACAAAGAAAATCATGTGTTTTCTCTAAATATTTTGTCATAATATTAATATTCACAAACTTAATGCGTAAAGATTCTAATGCTAATGCTAATACTAGTAAAATTTTGGACGTGAGGAAAAAGTTCATTCAATTTTTTAAAAGTTAATACTCGCAGGTTTCAGTCCTATAACTCAATTTTCTAGCTTGAAGACAGAATTTTTTATCCTGATGTGAATATTCACTAACTTTGTGCGCAACAATCCCTATTATATATCCTATATAGTTGGAAGCAAAAGATATGCATTGAGTTGCATCATATAAAAAATAGTAGCCTTTGGATCTCTGTCATACTTTGATCTCAACCATCCATATATCATGTGCATCTACAACCAACATATTGTAGTTATTGCAAAAAGCTCAGCATGCAACCACGTCACCTATAAAAATAATAGCCATTGGATCACTCTCATACTTGATACATGCATTGATGTGTCATGTACAATTGCAATTCCAAATCAACTACTATAGAGCGCAAAATATTGTTCTTTTAAGTACAATTGCAATTCCAAATCAACTACTATAGAGCGCAAAATATTGTTCTTTTAAGCGTTATGAGTACTCGATTTACAAAATTGTTTTCTTGGAGATTCTGTGTATATATATAAAGTTCATCCCCACTAATTCACTCTTCTCTCATTAACCCACATCACCTCAATTCTTTCTAGCCCTTAGATGATTGATCTATGGTCCAAATTATCAAGATGTGGATGGCAGCGAATGGTGCGAAGGTAGCCCCCTTGACGTGCCTGTGGATGGGCCCTAGTCAGATCAGTTGGTGGTGAGTGGCGACACACAGGGGACTGAGAGGGTGACATGCACTACCCCACTCCGGTGATGCTCTTGGCGACGTTGAGGCCCCTTCACCTTGTTCTCCTCAGGTCATGTACAATGCAGTGCCATGTGCCTGTAGTTTCAAGTTCCAGCTAGTTCAGATGCCATGCCGAAGGTTTGGAGTGATCTTGTAGGGTGGCAGAGGAGCCTGTAGAGGTAACAATGGTTTATGGTGGTTCTAGGAGAGAAGCAAGAGGAAAAAGCCGCCGATGGCAGGACATGCCCATCTCCGCATCCCGCCGCCCCTGCAACCTGCCATTGCTGCACGAGGTCGGTTCCGACGAGCATGAGGCTAGATCCGGTGAGCTTGAGGCCCATGAGCTTGCACAGCCCATGCCTCGTCGGGGTGGGAGCCCATCATGACGGCGGGAAGGGAGCAACGTCTGAAGAAGGATATGTGGCATAAGCTCGATCTCGTTGGTGGAGAGGGGAGAGAGCTCAAGCTTGTCGCTGAAGAGGGGACATAACTCAATCTTGTCACCGGAGAGAAGGTAAGGAGTTGGTGGCAAGGGGCTGGGAGCCTAGGAAGGCCGACGGGGATCGGAGGCTGGTGCCGAGCCAACGATGTCATCGACTTGGTGGGGTGAGAGGAGAAACTGAAAGGGGAAAGTTAAGAGAGAAAAATATACTTAGATTTGATAGCTAACAGGTGGGGTCATAGGTTGAGATGTAATTATTTCAATGACTCTGGTGTACTCGATTAACACTCACGTGTTTTATTCAAAGACTAGACCTCATGAAAATATAGCCATAATGCGAAAATCACAAATTTTTTTGTTGTAATTGGAATATTCACAAACTTTGTGTGCAACTATCCCGATGGTAATACTAGTGGAATTTCAGGTGGAGGAAAATTTCTTGCGCTTTTTTTTCCTGAAAGGTTAAGACTAACTATTGATGCTTTTTTGTGGTCAACACAAGATCACCTAACGATTTGCGGTGTAATCAACTGGGTCACCAAAATCATTAGATCAAAATCAGCTAGCGGAACCGATTTCGAGATTAATTCACTTATGCGGAATCAAGCGACTAATTTACAAGCAAATTAGCAAAGAAAATAAATATCGTACTAACGTGACGACGAACGACTAGTTTCCAAGCAAACTAGCAAAGGATAACCTCGCTTTCATGGAGAAGCACGACCGTTTTTCAGCGTAAAACAATAATGATTAACTAAATTCTAGGGTTGCCAGAATTCAGCTATGAAAGCGAAATAGAAAAGAACTGAAAAGTAAAGAAAACTAATAGTAGATTGATAATTGTTCGGGGTTCTCCATCTAATCAGCCATGCGCTATATATACATAGCAGTCTGGTCTTCGGTGTCCTATCCAAATAATAGGAATATTATCATATCTGTAAAATACGTTGCCTACTGCGTGAAGATCTCCCTGGCGGTTTTTTGGTCTTCATCCTGGATGCAGTTTTACCAATCCGGTTGTGTTCTCTGCACAAATTCCAGACCATGTCTTCTGCTACTTTCTCGTTGTCCCGTGCGGTCAGATGTAACCAACACAATTCGTCGTCAACCACCACTGCCGCTCCGGCCGCATATAATCAACTGCACACAGCTGCATTCCATCTACTTGCATCTCCATCAAGGCATCAACTCCAGGCAAGGCATCTACTGCACCTCTGCATGCACAACACTGATGCGCTCCATCTCCGAGCAGAGTCAACTGCTGCAATAACCTAGTGATTTGCACACACAATCTTCCAGTACATTACTGATTCCTGCACCCACACCCACACCACTCAAAAATACACCAGCTATTTGAAATAATCTGGCCTACTCAAATAAAACTAACTATTTACCAAATCATGATACAAACACTAACATGCTTTATCTGAAGGCTATAACACATGAAAATATAGCCAGAGTGCAAAAATCATGAAATTTTTTTGTCATAACGTTAATATTCATAAACTTCGTGCGCAACGATCTCAATGCTAATAATAGTAACTTTTTTGGTTGAGGGAAGAATTCATGCTTTTTTTTCAAAGGTTCACTCACGGGTTTTAACCGAAGGCTATAACTAATGAAAATGTAGCCTGAAGCCAACAAATAATTTAAACTTTTCTCGTAATGTTAATGTGCACAAGCGCCATGCGCAGCGATCCCGATGCTAATACTAGTGAACTTTTTGTCTAGGGAAAAAATTCATGTGTTTTTTTCAAAGGATAACACTCACGGGTTTTAGTCCATGGCTATAACTCACAAAAATACATCATGAAGGCAAAAGATCATGAAAACTTTTGTCGTAATGTTAATGTGCAGTTGTGCACTAACTTGTTGCACAATGATCCTGATGCAATAAAACATGTATTTTTGGACCCTCACGAAATTGTAGCCTAAAGTCAAATAATCATGAAAATATTTGTAATGTTAATGTGCACAAACTTCCTGTGCAACGATCCTAATGCAAATACTTGCGAATTTTGGGCTGGAGTAAAAAAAATCTTATATTTTTTTGAAAGCTATAATTCACGAAAATATATCTATAATGCAAAAATCACAAAATTTCTTGTCGTAATTTCAATATTCACAAGCTTCATGTGCAATGATTCCAAGGCTAATACTAATGAAATTTTGGGTCGGAGGAAAAATTCTTTCATTTTTTTCTCAAAGGTTAAGACTCACGTGTTTTATCACGAGGCTATAACACATGAAAATAGTCCAAGTGCAAAAAATCATCAAATTTTTTGTCGTAAGTTAATATTCACAAATTTCGTGTGCAATGATCCTGATGCTGATAATGGTGAACTTTTTGGCCGGGGGAAAATCTTGCTTTTTTTTCAAAGGTTCACTCATGGGTTTTAGCTGAAGGTTAGAACTCACGAAAATGTAGCCTAAAGGCAAAAAATAATTTAAACTTTTGTTGTAATGTTAATGTGCACAAAAGCCGTGGGCAGTGATCCCAATGCTAATATTAGTGAACTTTTTGGCCGGGGAAAATCATGCTTTTTTTTCAAAGGTTTATTCACGGGTTTTAGCTGAAGGCTATAACTCATGAAAATGTATCGTGAAGGCAAAAAATAATGTAAACTTTTGTCGTAATGTTAATGTA